GCATGTCAGGCTAGAATGAGTACATTTACACTTTCAATCTGGGGAAAAAAAAAAAATTATAGTAGTAAAGTGATAAATAGGATGCTATTAATGCTTTATTCCAAACAAATAAACCACTTTCTGGATTTTGTACTTTTCAAGTTCTCCAGATTTACAAGGAGGGGCTGACGATTACCTACAATTGAACATTCCACATGTACATTTTAGCATTCAAGAAGATAAAAAGGTTATACTCCTATCCATGTTTCTTCAATATATACTGTGTATAACTCTCAAAATCAGAGAGAGATTAGGGTAATCTTTGAGTGTTAGGGCCATGTTTTAAAAACTAAAAAAATCTAAAATGATCTTTTAGTGTACTATAAGCCTAGTCTAGTCAAGCCTCTTTATCAACCAAGATGGAGACTATAACATTAAGGATGGAGTGTGCATATCTGTAAGGAAGACAAAGCAGACAAGAGACAGACATTCCACACTCACACGGCTCCCTCAGAGCTGATAAAACATTCCTAAAGACTGGGGTTGTTTCCACAACATCTGTAATGTCAATTCATAGCCTAATCCATCATCTATACACAGAAGTCAAGTGAGAACCCAAAGGCGAAATTTCCAATTAGTTTTGTCTGGGAAGTTCAGGCCAAAGGTAATAAAATCAAGAACCCTGTGCTGACTCACTGGGAAAGCATTTGTTTGCTGTGCTCCTTTGCTCAGGAACAAAAGGAGTCAGTGGTTAGTCTGGAAGTGATTCATTAAGGGTATCTGGGTGATACATGAAGAAACGACAAATGGTTATCTGTATGATTTGCAAAACAACCTCCTTTTTTCTTTTCATTTTTTTTTAAAGTTGTGCTTTTAGGGGGACTTCCCAAACCCTATTGCATACACAGAAATTCTATTCCTTCAAGTTTTTTAAACCACTGCTTTTCTCAGTCAGAAATCAATGCTTAAGATTATGGTCCACAGCAAATAATTCTAGAAGGTCAGAGAATAAAACTGTTGACTTCAAATAGGCAATGAAAGTTTACCTATTGGGCTGGGATGTAACCCAGGGGTAAAATGCTTTCCTAACATGTACAAGGCGCTCAGTTCAATCCCCGATACTGTGAGACAATTCAATATTGACTAAACTAACACATTATTTCCCCAGTAAATAGGAAAGCTAAAGTAGGAAGATCATAAGTTTAAAACCAGCCTGATTACACAGCATAACTGTCTCAAAAAAAATTTTTTTTAAAAAAAACCTATTCATTATACTCTTTTTAAAAGGACGTCTTGGGGCTGTAGAGATAGCTCAGTGGTCCTAGCACCTGCCTAGGGAAGCACAAGGACCTGGGTTCGATCACTGGAGGAACCACATGCTATGCTGGACCCAGAACATGGGCACACTGAGCCACCCGCCAAGACCAGGAGTGGTGGCACATGCCTATAATCCCAGAGCTGAGGAGGCTGAAACAAGAGGATTATGAGTCCCAGCTATGTAGTGAGACCCTGCACTAAATACATCAAATTAAAAAATAAATAAAAGGTTTCAAGTCATGTCTCTCCCTTTCTGTAAAAGTATGTCTGATGGTAGTAACTTGCGCCATTAGTTAATGTGGGTTTTGGTTTTTCTAAAACTATTAGCAACTTAGTAGTTATAATCAGAATTTTATCCTCTTCTTTCAAAAAAAGCACAATCACATCTGTGCTCTCCAAGTAACATGAAAGATTATGAGATTATATTAGAAAAGTGCAAGCACAGTAGAAAATTGCTAGCCAAAACAAAAGCATAAACTCTACAGTATTATTTCATGTTTCAAGTTATACAGCATTGTCTTGGTGCCATTTTTATTATACTGGATTAATCTATATGTCTTGAGATATTTGGATTATTTATCATTTATTAGGTAAACACCATTAAACCCAAACAACATTAAATTGACTTAAGTGTTTAAGAGAAATAGATTACATATTTTTTGAGACGGCTATACAAAAAGCTTAGTATTCATATCCAACTGAACAGATTTAAACTCACTGAATCTTTGTAGCTTCACTTTAAGCATATATTAATAACCACTATCTTAAGGGCAGGAAGTTATCCAGTCTGTGCATACCCCCTCGGCTTGGCAAAACCCCAGCCCTAGGTCCTAGAGACCTTGGTTTCTTCTTTTGATGTGGCAACACTCATAAGACTCCAATCATGAGTCATTCCTTGGGGGAAGACATAGAGAAAAGCTGTCACGACCCCATCAAATAGAAGGCAAACATTGTTTTCAAAGAAGGGCCTGCTGGACTTTCTCTCCATAGGAGCTTGAGTCACTACAAGCTTATAACAACAGTAATTATCAAGTCATACTAAAATCTTAGTTTTTGGTAGTTTTCCCTTTTTCAACCTTAAAGGATAAACAGGTGAGAAAGGAAGCAATAATTAGACGTAAAGCTGTAGCTGAGTATGGTGGCAACTAGGTGCATCCTAGCACTTAGGGAGGTTGAGGCTGGAGGCCTGTAAGTTCAAGCTCTGTCTGAGCAATTCAGTGAGACCACGTCCTAAAATAAAAAGTTCTGGGAATGTATCTCAGTGGTTGAATGCCTCAGGTTCAGTCTCCAGTACCAAAAAAAGAAAAAGAAAAAGAAAAAGAAAAAGAAAAAGAGAGAGATATAGAAATAATAGTGAAGGGGTGGGGGGGGAGAGACAGACACAGGCAGAAATGACAGCAAAGGTGCTGGGGAGATGGCTCAGTAGAATAAGCGCTTCCCTGGCAAGAGAAAGGGTCTGAGTTCAATCCCTGGTTCTGAAAAAAAAAAAAAAAAAAAATAATAATAATAAAGGAAGAAAGAAACAAACAAAGAAATGATAGTGAGGTTGCCTATCGAGTGAGAAGTATCAGAAATGTCTACATCTAATGAGAAAAGAGCTTTAAAAACAGCACCAGTCAAGCAGCTCAGTGGTTAAAGCTCCTGTTTAGGCAGACATTGGGGGCCATGGGTTTGATGCCCTGCTGGACCCACCCCTGGGGCGTGCTGAGACAGCGATTGAGATTGAGCACGGTAGTGTGTGCCAGTAATCCCAGTACTTGGGAGGCTGTAAACAGGAGAATCACTACAAGTACAATCTTCGTAGTGAGACCCTGCAGAACCTGTATCCCCTGTACTAAATGCATTAAAAGAAAAAAAAAATATATCCAAAGTTTAAAGGAGAAACAGGCACATGAATTTTAGATAGGGGCCAATATCTCACAACCGACTTTAACTTAAAAAGGAGTATATTTTTAATTGATTATATTAATCAAATGCTTCATAAATATAATTCAAAAGATAATACCTGTTCATGTTATAGCTTGTAATAAAACTTGGGTCTATTCTACAATGTAATTAAATAGTCTCAAACTTTACTACTTGCAAACTGCTTTAAGAAAAGGCAACTTGAATGCTTAAAACACACAAAAGGTAAATTTGGGGCTGGGGAGATAGCTCAGTAGAATAAGTACTTACCTGGCAAGCACAAGGTCCTGAGTTCAAAAAAAAATATCGTAAAAAAAAAAAAAAAGCACTAAATTATGGTATTAAAAAACTGTGCTTAAAATATCTTCAACCTAGGGCAGGAGAAATAGCTCAGTAGTCTATGCGCCTGCCTGGCACCTAGGGATTGATCCCTGGTACTCCATGCTACGCAGCCCTGGCCCTGCTGAGAAATGAAACCAGGCATGGTGGCGCATGTCTGTAATCCCAGTACTGGGGATGCTAAGACAACAGAATCACTACAAGACCAAGCTGCACAGCAAGACTTTGTAATAAATAAACAGATTTTTAAAAATATATATTCAACCTTGATGTATGTTTCTCTTTATAGTTCTTTGTCTAGGAGCTGGGCATATTGCAGAGACACATATAGGGTTTCATTAAATCTTTCTTGTGGAAATGGCTCCATCTAGTGTCAAAAACCGTATCTATACCTATATCTAGATCTAGATCTGTATCTTTGTCATAGGTAGGATGGTAAATGGTAAACAGCATATTTCTGTTATAATATAGAAAAGCCTTTTTTTTTCTTTTCAAAGTTTTATTGATAAAGAAAAGCCTTTTATAATTCATTAATCACACAATTTACAAATTGCCCTTTTAATCTTCTCATCTTATAAATTGGTGAATCATGAAGTATGTGCACATAAAGATGTTTGAAATAAAGTTCTCATTAAGGAGTAATGTTCCTGTTAAACCAGTTGTTTACAGTGTAAGTCATATTTTTCTGTTAACAGTAATTGTTTACAACATCTAAAATTAAAAAAAAAAAAAAAATTTGTGCTTGGAACTGGGGAGATGGCTCAGTGGAATAAGTGCTTCCCTGGCAAGCACAACGGCTTGAGTTCAATCCCCAGTTCCGCGAAGAAAAAAAAAAAAAAGAAAAAGAAAAAAAAATTGTGCTGGGGTATAACTCAGTAATAGAATGTTTGCCTAGCATGTTCAAGTATGCTCCCCAAATAAATACCTAAAAGCAAGGTTAGCTATCTCATTACAGCTCCCAAGCTCAATATTCTTCTGGTTTACCACTGTTAATATAACAAACTACAAGCTCCTGATCAAATCCACCCGGCCATTTTGAATAAAATTTTACTGGAAAACAGCCACAGCCAATTATTTCTGTGCCATCTATGACCATTATGCAACTCTTACAACAGAAGAGAGTAACAGTGTAGACACGGTATGGTCCACAAAGTCTGAGCAAGTACTATCTGGTCCAAAGGAGAGAAAGAATGCTCTCAAAACCTGGGTTATACCAATTAATAAGGTAGAAAAACTTCGACTCATCCAAACAAGCTGCACAGAGATGCACCAGAGGTCAAGAGCTGCTTCATGCAAACATTAACTGTTTTCACACTGGATAATTTGTAGACCATCCAAGATGGAATAAGCATTACTTCAGTTGCCTATCAGTTCTGCACAAAGAAACCCTGCTGCATGTTTTCTTACACTAAGAGAAATCTAATGGATTTCAAAAAGTTAATATGCAAGACTGTGCTTGGCTGCTCGCTTCAGCAGCACATATACGAAAATTGGAATGACAGAAGATTAGCATGGCCCCTGTGCAAGGATGACATGCAAATTCGTGAAGCATTCCATATTTTTAGGTGCCTGCAGACCTAGGTCTTTTAAATTGGGCCTGGTCAAGTCCATCCACCATGCCTGTATGCTCATCTGCCAGGGCCACATTAGAGTCCACTAGCAGGTGGAGAACATCCTGGCCTTCATTGTGTGCCTGGACTCCAGAAGCACATAGACTTCTCCCTGCACTCTCCTTATGAGCAAGGCCGCCCAGGCCGCGTGAAGAGAAAGAATGAGAAGAAAGGCCAGGGTGGGGCTGGAGCCAGCGATGAGGAGGAGGATGAGGAGAAGGAGGGGGAGGACAAAGGGGAAGAAGGGGAGGAGGAGGGGGGAAGGAGGAGGAGCAGGAGGAGGAGGAGGAGCAGGAGGAGGAGGATTAGGCCCACCCTGCAATTTCTGTCAAAGAATTTAGTTTTCTAGTTACAGAATAAACCAGAACGAATAAACAAACAAGCAAAAAAACAAAAACAAAAACAAAAACAAAACAAAGAGTATGTTTGGAAGGTACTATCTTAGAAAAATATGCTAACCACAGAAGGCTTTTCCCCCCATCTCACCTACATGTGAAACAGTTTAGTAAATGAACCCAACCAGTAGCCTGGACTATTGGCAGGCAAGGTTTCACACAGATACCAAACAAAATGAATAAAAACATATCGAGTTAAGAAATAAAATCAGGAAGACCTGTAGTTCACATACTTTAATTTCTATTTTGTTACTTAATAACTAAAAAGATAAAACAGATCATAGTATAAAATGATAAAAATCACATGTAAAATAACATTATGCCTATTGTTTCTCTACATTTAAACACACTGAATGTAAAAAGTACATTAAAATATAATTTATATAGCAGTAGTTACATGTAATTTTATTTGTTATAGAAATGAGAATATATTTGGGCTGAGGATACAGATCAGCAGCACAGTGCTTGCCTGGCAGGCATTAGGTCCTAGGTTCAATTCCTGACACAGAGACTGATGTGGACACAAAATTATCTTGAAAATTAAGAGAAAATCATATATAGATCAGGTTTTCATCAGTGGTCACAAGACTCAGATGTTAGGGTCAAACTGTTTTGCCAATACAAGAATTTGTCTATTCCTAAACCCATAGGTTTCAAAGATCTTATTTTACGCTAACTTATTCATTGTGTTTTACTTTGTGCCAGAACTATTTTAGGCCTTTAGAATACAACACTATATTAAGAAAAATCCGTTCTCAAAGAGTAATTTTATAAGTGATGCTCACATTTTAGCAGATTTTCTTTTACCTTTTTTCTTGATACAGAGGATTGAATCTAGGGGTACATTACCACTAAACCATATCCTAGCTAGCCAACCTGCCTCCTTTCTTTCATTTATAGAAAAGGACTTGTTAAGTTGCCCAGACTGGCCTCAAATGTGCAATCCTCTTGCCTCAGTCACTTAAGTAATTGGTATTAGAGGAATAAAACACAAACGCTTGCCATTTTAATTATTTTAGCTTTTTGCACTCCCATACAATAGCCAATCCCCCTAACCTGAAACCTCTCTTTCTCTAGTGACCTGGAGATGAATCCTAGGTCTTGAAAATCCTAGGCAAGGACTATACTACTGAGTTATGCTCCCAGCCCCTTTTATTTTTATTTTAAGATAGGGTTTCCCAAGTTGCCTAAGCTGGTCTTGAACTTGTGGTTCTTCTTTATCAACTTTCTAAATAGCTGGGATTTCAACATTTTACAAATTGAAATCAACTTACTTTCTCACATGGATTTTTTTTTTTTTCCCCATTTGTGGAAGAGTGAAAAGTCTCCAATTACCCTTTGTTAATCTCTGCCTTCCCCTCAATAAAATTCAAGTTTTTTTTAGTGTTTTCTCCTTCCAGCAAACCTGTCCCTATTTTAGGGACCACACAACAATTTATGATGGTTGCTTATTACAATGACCTATAGTACAGTTATTTATAAAACATAAATCTTTTTTTTCTAAAAAAATTTTTAATGTGTAAATCTTTATTTTTACAAGTGCAGTATAAAAATTCTGACCTGAAAAGTTAAAAAAAGATTCTGCTGGAAGTAGCCACGCTTGGTTTTTGGTAATAGGACAGTGGCTGCCATGTATTCTGGAAGTAGTGGGAGGAGAGGTACTGGCTCTGGACAGAGGTAGCACCACTGGGTCGTTATAAAAGCACCGCAAGAGGCAGCCCAGGGGCAACAGTGCACAGGAGAAGAAACAAGCACTGGAGTGTCAGCAGTGAAGGCTAGAAGCTGAACCAAGATCATGAGGACTTGTACAAGAGCAGGAGGCACAGGACAAAAGCTGAGGTGCCCAGGGCAAAATGGCACAGCCTGAGCCCTCTAGGCAGGGTGCAAAGAGGGAAGAGAAAACATAAATCTTTTATGTTTAATTTCTCTTGTATTTCACACGATACTTTAGAATGTTTGCATTAAGTAAATGGTCAAGTTCTTTTTCTTCTTTTCTTTTCTTGGCAGTGCTGGGGATCAAACCCAGGGCCTTGCACATGCTAAACATGTGCTCTAGCACTGTGCTACAGCTCAAGCCACTTATTTAAGGTTTCTGAAGAGAACTGAGATAAATTAGCACAGAGATTATTTTATAAAAAAATTATCATGTGGTGCTGGGGACTAAAGCCCAGGGCTTGTGCATATTAGGCTAGAGCTCTACCACTGAGAGACAACCTCATAGCAAGACGTAATGTTGTGAGACCATAAGGCAGCCCATTTGTTCTCAGTGCAAGTCCAAAAGAGGGCTCAGAAATGTAACATTTATGATTTTAGGAAGTAGTTATGATCTAATAAAAAACAGCGCAGGCCTGGGAGTGTAGCTCAGTGGTACAGCGCCTGCTTAGCATGAATGTAGCTCTGAGTTTGTTCTCTAGCACCACCATGAAGAAACAATAGAACACCCCACAGGAAACTATAATAGATATTAACCAGAGTCATTCAGAGGGAGCGGGGGATTTACCTCAGTGGCACAATGCCTGCCTAGCAAGCCTGAGGAGGTCCTGAGTTTGATTCCCGGTAACCCTCCCCCCCCAAAAAAAAGCCCAAAACAAGAGTCACTCAAAGAATAATCAAAATTTAAAGCAAAAGAATACACTTATGAAGGCAGGGCATTTAGTATCTTTTAAAGAATAGTACATAGAAAAATACATTATACATATAGCTTCATAAATTATTAAAAACACAGCTAGTCACTAGCCAGATCAAGAAGTAGAAACAGCAGGGAATGTAGCGCAGCGGCACAGTGCCTGCCTGGCAAGCTTGAGGCCCTGAGTATAATTCCTGGTAGAAAAGAAAAACAAGAAATAGATATACTTTGGGGCTTCATAGACTATTGACTACCATGACTTAGAAACTGCCTGTAATTAAGACAATGTGGTTAAATAAAAGAAAAGGACAATGTGGTATTAGTACCAAGATAGACAATTTAGTGCAACATATACTCTATCTTCAAAGAATTTTTCTTATGTATTATTCTTTGCAGTTTTAAAAAAAGTTCAGCCAGCTTATGTAGTGGTTCACTGATTGTGTCAAACTTGAGAAGTTTAGAAGTTAACTAACAGGTTCAGCAGTTCTACACCAGAATGTGTACAAACGAGAAACGAGGAAGGACCGGCTCCAGGCTTTGACTTGAGCTTGGAAGTCATCTCCTGGTTTCTACTGCACTCTTCAGCTTCTGCCTTGGATTCTTCAGGCTTCCAGCGTACTCACTCATCAGCCTTCCATCACCCTCCTGATACCGACTTTCATGGCCACTGCAGTGAACCACAGACCTTGGCCTGAAACCTTCAGTTTCCAGAATGCTGACACCCACTGAATGTTCCTCATCCAACTCTGTGGCTCACCCTTGCAAGTCAATTCTGTAATTTCTTATACATTTGCATATCTTGTGCTATAATTGTTTCTCTAGTAAAACCCTGACTGATGCAGCTTATCAATTTATACAGAAATAATCTGCTTAAATTTTGACTAGTATGACAAAGCTGGGGAGGACTAAGTCTTTTAAATTGAATATTTTAATTCATGAATATATCCTATTTATCT